ATATCTATATCTATATCTATATCTATATCTATATCTATATCTATATCTATATCTATATATATATCTATATCTATATCTATATATATATCTGTATCTATATCTATATCTATTTCTTCATACATTATCTGCGAAGCACATTGTTTTGCAACCTGTACTGGCTGTATGAAAAAATGATTGAGATACCTAGGAATTTGCTACTGCTATACGGGAGGAAGTTTCATTTATATTTTCTGCCAAAATGTATTTTTTAGAATAACAGTAATCGCTCCTCGGAACCACAGTCGTAAGTAAGAAAGAAGAAGTATTTATAGAAGTTACTTCAAAAGCAAAAATATTTCCCTCATGTCGATTTTTCCAACAGGGAAATATTCGAGTGAGCGTACAACGATTTTAATTAAGGAAATTCATCAGAATATATGGTACGGCCTATATACACACATAAACACCGAATCTTTATATCCAGACCCCATACTCGTATAATGGCGCAAAACTAGATTGGCACGCACTTTTTCCGTTTCAAAATGCGTTTACAATGTATGTTCAATTACACTGCTGGTGCTGATAGCTCGCATGTCCTGGTTCTATAATGCTCCTATAGTGGCGGCAGACAGAATAATGGGCAGCTGTGGCGAATAACAGCCTGCAACATTTTTTCTTTGGCGAAATAAATTCATGCTTACACCACTGACATTACTACTCCACCACAACTACAACTACAAGTTCCATTTTGTAATATAATACTCCCGTTACTTTACAGTTCCTCCTTGACCACCTTATTTCTGGCGACGAACAGTCACACTCACCGTTGAGCCGACAAAATCGTCCATTCGGCTTGTTATCCCTAAAAATATCCTATGAATGCGGTGGCTGCCACACTGCCACACAGCCACACACGAAAAGCGCTATCGCCGATGCTTTTGTCTACACAGCATTAGCCGGACGTACAAGTTCATTTTGCTGCTGCAACGAGCAAACATCTTGTTGAACCAACAAACAAATGGCTTTGCTGGTTTTCGCTTTCATCATCAACTTCAATGCATCCCTTTTGTTGCTGCAGACCACCTCTCTCGCTCCCAAACTTCATACGTGTACGCACTGTGCCGGATCTATTGATGCTGTTATCATTTTGTCCTGCCACCAAACACTGTTAGTGCAGTTCCGTGATGAGCTTAGCTTTTTGTATGCTCTTCCGTCCAATTTTTTTTCATTTTTTGCTATTTTGCTTTTGTGTTGCTGCGTTGGCAGATTTTTACAAATCCTCTGCTGTCCACTTTGCACTTTCTCGTGCGTGTGTAACGGGTGTTTGAATGCATGCTTGTGTGTGTTTGGTTAGTTGACTAGTTGCAGCTGCCAACAAGTTGGCTTGTTACTAAACTTGTTAGTAATCATCGCTACACAAAAATGCGCAAAAAATGGAAAAAATATGAGGAAAACCAGAGCAGTGCAAACAAATTGGTACAAGGACTAAACGCCGAAGTGTTCTATGAGTATATCTGTGAATTATTTCACTTTTTTGCAACAGTCTATTGTTTTCGTTATGGTTAACTGTCAATGTAAACAACTCGAAAATTAAATGACATAAATCGAAGTGTTCGAACATATGTTTATATAATGGAACTCAAGTGTTTTTGTGAATTATATTTCCAAAATTTTAATATTAAAATGTATTAAATTTAACAAAATATGGCGAATTCCAAAAACAATAAGAAAAAACGTTTACTTAGGCTGCACCAAAGCACCAATACGAAAGATTTCATTCAAGAACTTGATTCCTGTCGTTCAGCTTGTGTGACAGCTATATGCTATAGTGATCCGATCTTAACAAATTCTTCGGAGATTGCGTTATTGCCTTAGACAATAACGCATGTCAAATTTGGTAAAGATATTTTGTCAAATAAAATTTGTTTTCATACCAGCACTTGGTTTCGATCGTTCAGTTTGTATGGGAGTGCTAAGTATGCTATAGTTGTCCGATATCCTTGGCTCCAACAAATGAGCAACTTCTTGTGCGTGAGTAAAATTTCAGATCAATATCTCAAAAACTGAGGGACTAGTTTGCGTATTTGATAGACGAACAGGCAGACGGACATGGCTAAATTGACTCAGCTCGTCATACAGATCATGTACATACATATATGGCATACCCTTATTGTATAGATCACCGATGTTTCTTTTTGGTTGTTACAAACTTCTTGTCAAAGTTAATATACCCTGTTTAGGGTATAAAAAGCTTGATTAGGGCTACAAAGTTAATTAAATTATATATTTAACTTTATTGTATACATAAGGATTTGCCGCAGCTGGTTCGAATAAATTCCAGCCGAAAGTGTCATTTTTCAGACAAGCGACTTCACATAACCCCACAAAAAATTGTCGGTGCTAAATCGCACGATCTTGAAAAACTCTTCACTGGCCCATGACG